AATGAAATCCAAATTTCTTACCGTGTCTGACAAGATATGCCCGTCCTTTCCCATTTCCCTGCACATCATCCATGTCCTGGGCACACAGAATGTCTTGCTGCTCCTTGAATGTGTCATCTCCCTCCTACCCCAGGGCCTTTGCACTCACTGTTTGTTTTGCTTATGGAGTTCTTCCCCAGATTTTCACAGTGCTCACTCTCTCACTTTATTCAGGATTTTTATTTTATTTTATTTTTTTTGGTCAGATGTCACTGGTGAGAGAGGTCTCTGGTCCACCTTATCGAAAACTGTCTCTGTTCACGTCTACCATTTTCCCTGGCTTTATTTTCTTCTTAGAGCATATTATTCACTGACATTACATTTTGCTTTTATTCATCTTTCCTTGGAAGCTGTTCACTAACACAGGAGTTCCACACAGACAGGAGCATTGCTCATCACCAGGTCCCCAGAGCCTGGACCTGAGCCTCGCACCCAGGAAGCACTTGGCAGGTGACTGGCTAAATGAGACCCATTCCCCTCTTCCCTGGGGAGCACTTCTCACCTGGACTCCTCTCCTCTTGGGACCTTGGAGGGCCAGTGGCTCTGTCACTTGGGGCCATGGTCATCCCTTGGCCCATGGTCATCTTTTCCCTGAGAGGAAGAGAGTGCGAATCACTCAGTGCTGGGGAATGGAACGTCTGAGTCCATTTTGAGGAGCTGTAGGCTTGTGGCAGGGCCCCTGTCCCCTAGTGGGCCTGGAGGATGCTCGGCGCTGGGCTGGGAGGGGCACCGGAACCTGGTGGGGGAGTTGTGGCCCCGCGGTGGCGCATGCTGGAGAACAGGCCGGAGCCCCGCATCTGGCATCCCTCCAGGACTGCAGGCCTCCGAGGCACTGTCCCGGGAGGGCTGGGGTGTTATCTCCAGAGAGCTCCAGATGCGTGTCCTGCTGGCCACACCCTCCTCCGGAGGAGTGCCGAGGGAGTCCAGCTGGCCCTCTCACCCGGCAGAATCCTTTCCCGACGCTTTCCTGGAAGCCAAGCAGTTTATCTGGTTCCCATCTGCCCCACACTGCCCAGAGCCCTCAGCCGACTGCCTGACTCCGGCCACGGGGCCTCTGAGTGAGAGTGAGCCCTGGGAGGGCCGGCCCTCGGTCTGTTGGTCTGTCCGGTCTGTCGGGTCTGTGCTCCAGGGCCCGTGTGGAACCGGGCGCCGACCTGGGGAGGGGGACTGAACCAGCTCTTCCTTCTTTCCTTCCATCCTCCATTGCTTCCCCTTCCTTCCATAGGAGCTGGCACCTTCCCTCCTCTTCTCCTCTCCCCCTCCCCCCTTCCTTCCTCCCTTCCTTCCTTCCTCCCTCCCTCCCTCCCTCTCTCCCTCTCTCCCTCCCTCCCTCCTTTCCATCCATTCATCTTTCCTTCTGACCTCCCCACCTTCATCTGTCTTCCCTCCTTCTGTCTCCATCCTTCCATCCCTGCTTCCTTTTCCCCCTCCCTCCACCCACGCAACAGTCACTGAGCTCCAGCCCTCTGCCAGAGGTTAGGGACTAGGAGGTGAATGGGACACAGCCTTTTCCCCGTGAGCTGGGAAGGGACACTGGGCCTGCCCTCAGCATGGTGCTTGGCAGGCCCTCAGTAAATGATAACGCATTACCACGCTGGCCTTCTGGTCGCCCTAGTGTTGAGTGGGAGACAGGCATGTAACGACCATGGTAAGGCAACACGTTGGCCTAGAGGACGGGTCATTACATCAAACCCAAGGGCCCCGGCCATGGTGGGGTTGCCGCATCTCTGCTCATCTCTTAACTCTCCAGGCACCTTCCCTTTCAGCACCTGTGGGCCCAAGTCTGGGAGGCTGGGCTTCTGCCCCATGAAGGTTATCAGAGCTTCCGTGTCTCACCTGGGACGACTTGGGAGGGAGCGGTGGGCCCCCATCCCTTCGTGAGGGGCCCATGCGGCCTCCTCCTTCCAGCGTTGGCTCAGGGAACAGGCTGGGCCTCTGAGTGGGCACTGCTTTGCCTGCAGAATTCACAGGGTTGGGGATGCAGTGCAGACCCACTGTGGGCCTGGCCAGAGCTTCCTGGCCCCCTCCCACTTTCTTCCGTTGTCTGGGCCCCTCCTGTCTTCCTGTCCTCCCCACCCCTCTTTTAAAGTCTCTCAGAGCTCTCCATGCCCTCGCTTCCCTTGTGCTGTTCGAAGAGGCCTTGGATGTGCCCTAGGTTGTAAGAGACCCCTCCCCAACATCCTGTCCTCCTTGTCCTCTCTCCCCCTTCTCGAAGTTGTGGCCCCCCTGCACATCTTCCTAGAATCTGCACTCCTCTCATGTCAGGGGTCTCCGAACCTTTGCCCTCCCCTGCCTCCATCTTTGTCTCCACTGAGGCCCCGCTGCACCCGGCTTGAGGACTCAGCTGTCATGCTGGTGCCCCGGCCTCTGACACGCCTCTAGGCCCACATCGTGGCCCGCACACTCTTCCCACAACGGTAGCTTCTGGACTGCCTGGCAGACCTGCTCGCCCCTGGCCTGCCCTGGGGCCTGGCACACGGTTGGTGTGAGTCACTGAATGAGCAGGTGTGAGCTCACTTTCAGGTGCCGGCGGCTGAGGGTGACCCCATGTGCGCCTTCCCTGTGTTTGACAGGACAGTCGGGGGTTATCACTTTCCAGTAGGGGGGATTTCAGGCACTGAAACTTGTCTGTGGAGGGGATTCCTTTGGTGGGATGGCTGCTACCCACCTTGGCCTTGGCACATGCCATGCTTTTTGCTGCCTTTGTGATCTGCCCTGTCCCACCGTTCCCCAGATCTGGTGGTAGCTGCACCCCACTGGGCCTGTGGGCACTGTCTCCTGGGTGGCCCCCCTCCTCCATCCCCTCAGCGCGGGGTCCACGTGGGAGGCAGGGGCGAGGGGAGACCTCCCATCAGGGACCTGTTTCTGGTTATGTCACCGCGTTTTGTCTAAGTGCAAGTTACTACTTGCACCAGGATAGCTGTTTCTTTCGTTGAGTGAGACAGAATTATTGGGCTGGCGTTTTCCTTCCTCCCCGTCCCACATCGAGAGCATTGGTGGTCTGATGTGCTCTCCTTTGCCCACCTTCAGTGGCTGTAACGCCATCGGACCGTGGGAGCCCCTCTAGATGGTTCAGAAAGGGACCAGTGGCGCTGACTCGATTTCCTTTCCCAGGATTCCAGCATGGCCTCTGAACACGGACTCTGCTGCTAGCCCAGCAGGAAGCTTGTTGGGCTAACCTGGCCCAGGCGGGCCAGCCACTTTTGGCTAACCGCCGGCCCCCCCCCCCATCATTCGGGAGAGCCCTTGCAAGGGCACAGCTCCCAGTGCAGCCACGGAGCTTGCGCTGGGGCGATGACTGATTCAGGGCATAGGAGCTCCCATCACGGCCCCAAGGGCAGATGGCCGGCGCCGGCGATGTTCTGATCCATGGTATGAAGTCAGTGGTCAAGTGGGTGCGGGACACCCCAGGTGAAGTCTCCCCATGTTCTCCCTGTCACTGGAATCCACAAAACTTCTAAGGGAACAGCCCCTGGAGAATGGTCCTAGAATTTTGCAAGCCACGAGGTTGAGTCTGTCCCCCACCTCCTGCAACCCCCTCCCTGAAAGTAAAGAGTCTTGTGGGCAAAGGCAAATCTTCGCAGAGCCAGCCGGGTGCTGGGGATTGCTCTGCCCATCCCTGGGACAGACCAGAGAAAGCACAGCATCAAGCATTTGTTTTTCCTCTCTCTGCAGATTTTAATGTTGAATGATACAGAAAAAGCAGAATGCAAAAGATAATCTGATCGGGGAGAGGGAAGGAGCGGGAGAGAGACTTAACGATTTCTTACCTTGTTGCAGATGGTTAACACGTAAACTTCTGCTTCAGGTCTCAGGATAGGCAAGTATAAGTTAGTTTACAAACAGCAGAGTCCCTGTGACACTTTGAGGAATCACTTTCAGCACTCAGTCAGCCAACACGATTTTGGTTGCCAGAAATCAATGTTGGAGTCGGATGGAGTGTTGTGCGCCAGTAGCTTATGTCCACATTTCGTCATCGTGGGCTGGGGCTGCCGCCACGGCCTCCCCAAGCGCATCTTCTGGTTTCCCATTTATAGACATGCCCTCGAGCCCCTACTGGGATTTCACTTCTCTGATACCAGAATGTACAGCTTCGGCTTCAGTCGAATGTAACTTCTCAAGAGGGAACTTTTGCTTGCCCTGTAAAATTCCCTTCTGGAAATTAGATTCCAAATTGCACTGAGCCCGGAGAGGCTGGGCCCAGGGAGTGGACTGGATATTACAGGCTGGGGCTTGGCTTGATCGCCCCAGCCCACAGCTCTGGAGCCACTGGGGGGCAGGCGTCTTGGCTTCCCCTCCAGGCCCCCATCTCGTCCGAGCGTGTCATAGTGGAGGAGCTCATCTATGGGGGGCTTACTTAAGATGGGAGAAAGTCAAATGCCTAACTGGCTCTTGCTTTCTGGGTCTTGGTTCAGGAGGGAGGACTGATGCCCCCAACACCCCAGAGCCTGGGTCAGTGGCTGATTCCTGGTTTGGATGCACAGAACGCTGCCTTGGCCACCCAACAGGTGTGGTCCATTGAAATGTGGGGTAATTGTGGTCTCCTGAAGAGGGCTCCTTAAATCAGGGAGAAAAAAGAACCCCTGAGTACTTCCTCAGTTCCTCAACCTTTAGAATTCAAGAGAGAGGGGGAGAGAGAGAGAGAGCCAGCCGTTATTTGCTTATTTGCTTATTTCTTCTGTCCCATCTGGACAAGAAATGGTTAGATGCCCCGCCCCCTTCTCTTTTTGCAGGTGGCAATTTCCCATTAAAAGGAGCTGAGCAAATTGGGTTTATTGCAGCAAAGGTCACATAGTTCCCATTTTTAAATTGCTCAATGAATTGGGGCAGTGGGGCTATTAAATATTGTTAGACTCTCGACTAGCCTGGCAAATTGTTACCTTGGATGAATGCTGTTTACCTGTCTTACTGACGTCGATATGTCCGACATGGAGACTTGCTAACGGGTCCTATTTTTGCAGTTCCTGCCCACCACGGCTTTAAGAATACCCTTCAGCCAGGAGGGAGCTCCGTTTCTTTAAGACTTGCCTGGTAAGGAACATCGTTTTGTAGTTTGTTGAAGTGGTGTCTGTCTGTGAGTCTGTGGGTCGTCCAGGCTGCCCTCGTTGGGCTTAGACCCCCCGCCTGTGCTGGGTGGGAGCTCTCCCAGCTGCCCCCTTCTCCTCCCTGGCCTGAGATGGGTTGTGGAGAAGCTTCTGGATTCAAGGTTCTCTGGGATGGAGCGTGGCTCCCGGGGCTTCCAGGTGGGATGAAGGTATGATGCCAAGACCTGCCCCAGAAGTCTCAGCACGGGGTCCCCGACGGGGCAGAGCCCTGCAGGGGTGACCTCTTTCTCTCTGTGGGACATCCGGAAGGGTCGCTGTCCCCCAGCAGGTGGAACGGGAGCTGGTGGGGTTGCTGCCCAAAGCCAGGTGGCCCCAGCCAAGCACCACCTGCGGCTCCGGGGCCCTCCGCGTTTGTCATCTCAGACTCGGGACCGCAGACTCGGTAGCGGAGTGTTTTCCTGGCGTCGAAGCTGATAGAAACTTGCGACACAAACGAAGGGTCGGTGCTAGTGCTGGATGCCTGCCGCCGCCTCGTCAGGCGCCCCGAGATGGCTCCGTCAGCTCAGCCTCGCATCTCATCGGCCCAGCCCCCCGCCCCCCGAACCGTGGGACTCTGAGGTCACTACGCACCCGGGGAAATGGAGAGCGGAACGATATGCGCTCAGAAATTAATTTTACGTCGTGCTGAATATATATTTTTTTATTGTGACTTTATCTTGATGAGAGAGTGCTTACTTCTGACTCTGTGGGTATTACTGACCATGGGTTACTTTTATTTTGGTTTTTACACAACAGTTATATCAGAAATTTGCTGTTTTATTCTTACCTTCTTAGTAAAAATCCTGTTATCACACAATGGGTAATTTATATCCATTACCAGCCTTTCAATCCTTTTCAGTGAGGCTGTCAGTGCCTTTGGCACAGTGATGATTAATGTGATCTAATAATAGCGTGCCATTATATTACCTTAGTAAAACATGTACCAACATCCTGCTCGGATCTACCAAATTCATAGCTTCCTATAATATTTTTGTTGAAAGACAGGATTACTATTTTTCAAAGCTGATTTTTCCCCCCCCCCTTAACATATTTAATGAAATTCACGATTCTCTGCCTTAGTAATCCAGGCATGTGATTGGGTTCGGTGGGTGAATGCGTTGTGATTTGTCAGGGAGAGGTTGGACAGTCGCAGAGACCCGCGACCAGCCTGGGTTGTTTTGCCTTGAAGAAGAAAAAAAAAAATTGCTGGGTTTCCAGTCCCTTCTGACACGTAATGAGGAAGGTGTGTTTTAGATCAAAAGGCAAAGAAGTAATCTGGCTCCAAGAGTCCTTTCTTCCTCTCCTGTTTTATCCTCTCTTCTGTCACCTGCCTTGGTCTGCTGGTGAACAGGAGGGTAGCAGAGTCAGTGGAGGAAGAAGCTCCAAGCCCCTTTTTCTGGGGTTTGCCCCCACCCTCCGTCTCCGGCTCAGCCTCTCTGGGCCTGAGGCAGGGTTTCTCGGCCTCAGCGCTGTTGACATGGGTCTGGGTAACTCTTTGCTACGGGGCCCCTCCTGTGCACTGTCGGACGTTCAGCAGGATCCCTGGTCTTCATCCACTCAGATGTCAGTTGCATACCCAACTCCCCGAAGCTGTGACAACCAAAAAGGTCTTCCGAAATTACCAGCTGTCTCCTGGGGGGGTGGGCGGTGGCACAACCGTCCTCGGTTGAGAACCACAGGTCCGATGTGATAGGAACACAAGAAGATGGATTTTGGGGGAACTCACTCCAGCTGGAGTTGCAGAGCTTTGTGGTCCTTCTTTGGTACATCTTTGGCTTTGGGAGGGAAGATGTGGGCATGAGGGCCACACACTGCATCCTTTTCCTGGCTGAAACCCAGCCTTCTTCCTTCTTTCTCCTCGCTCCTCTGTCACAGAGCCTCGCCCCAGCGAGGGTCTGAATCTTAGCTTCTTCCACTTAAATCCCATTATACTCACCACCGTGATTGATAACATTCCACCTTTTCAAAGGGCTTTAAAATCTGTGTCAACCAAGGATGACATTATCGTAGCACAGGCGAGATGTATTCAAACAATTACACACTCAAATCGAAGTGGGAAGGTTTGTCCTTCTATTCTGATGCTTTGTGACGTGGCTTTCGCCAGCGCCTCAGGCCCTCAGCCCCCAAAACCTTCAGCAGGAAAATGCGTGGGGAGGAACAGGTTTTGCCCTTGATACCACTCAGCTCTGAAACAGTTTGAATATTTGGGCTTCTTAGGGCTAGAGCGTGGCGGGGGGGGGGAGGAGAGGTTGTTGAGCACAGGAGAGAGAGAGAGATCCTTGCTTTTGATTCAGAACAAAAATTACTGCTGCAACATTGGTTCGAAATATGCAATCAACTGAAATCAGGAAAAGTATTTTGAATACAGAATTTATATTGAAATACTTGGATCTTGATACGTGTGCACCCACATACATGTATATATTTAAATCAAGGAAGAGAAGATGAAAAATAAAGCTTTTGTCATAAAAATATTGCTTGTAGTATTTGCCCTCAAATGATTTCTGCCACATCGGAATACATTTTTGTACTGTTAGTATTTCCATAGAAGGCACTCTTGTTTGTTTTTACAGCGGATTCTTGATGATAACAACAAATGAGGAAATGGCTCTGATTTACCTTTGTTTTAGGAGGATTTCAAATACATTGTGATGTTTGGTGCAGGAAGCATTTTGGTGACCCACCCCTTCTTTACTGGTTTCTGGTCTGTCTCTCCCACTACAGCATAAACCTGGTAAGAGTAGGGCCTTGTGTGTGTTCTTCAGTGTCGCTTTCCACATTCCTGAAGGAGTGTCTGATGCATAGTAGGTTCTTAATAAAACTGATGACTGGCAGGATGGATGGGTGCATAGGTGGGTGGGTTGATGTATGGGTGCATAGGTGGGTGGGTGGGTGGATGGATGGATGGTTGGGTAAATGGATGGATGGATGGATGGATGGATGGATGGATGGATGGATGGAT